CCGCCCTGCGCTCCGCTGCGCTTCTGCCTCGGCGGCGCCCGGCCAAGGGCGCAGGGAAGCGGAGGGACGTCCGTCCACCCCGGAGCATGAGGCAGCATGTCTGATAAAATGTCCAGCTTCCTCTACATCGGGGACATCGTGTCCCTGTACGCGGAGGGCTCCGTCAACGGCTTCATCAGCACCCTGGGGTAAGCGTGCTCGCCCTCTCGGTCCCCATCCACGTCCCCTCCTCGTGCCGCCGCGTCGCCCGGCCCCCGTGCCGCCCAGCGTGGCCGGGCCGGGCCGGGTCTCCGCCCGCGGACAGCGCCGAGCGCTCGGCTCGCTTGCAGGAAGCAGCCGGGAGAGGCAAGGCGTTCGCAGCAACTTCTTAATCTCACATTCAGAGACACATCCGAAAAGGAGGAAGTGATTCAAAAGCCCCAAGACAGGCCTGGCAAAGAAGTAGCTGGCGTCTCCAGGGGTTGTTTTCATTAAAAAGGGGTGTTTGTTTTCCCTGCAAAGTAAAACAATTTCTTGCTTCATCTTTTTCTCGAGACCCGGCTCAGCCCTGTGTCTCAGCCACTCTGTCGAAAGAGCAGCCAGTGTAAGTCCGTGGCCTTGGGCATGAACCTCGAGTGTGGCATTGTCCTGCGCGCCCAGCTCACTGTCTCTTATTCGTTGAAGTAATTTCCTTTGGGCCTTGCCAACCGCAGACTCGCCCTGCTGTTGGGGGCAGCCTGGGGGTGTCTGCAGCGCTGTGACCCAAGAAGGTCTCTGCTTGCCTGCGGGGTTTGAGAATTCTGACCCGCTTCTCCCTTCCCAGGTCTGGCCCACTGAAATGCTGACCTTCCCCTGGAAGTCAGCCAAGTGTAATGTAAGGCTCTTGAGATTCGAGATTGATTTATGAATGGGATAGATATAGTTAAACGGGCCTTACTCAAAGGCCAGTATTTGTTAAACGTGTCTTGATTATGAATCCAAGCTCACACCTTAAATGTACTCTGAAACTATATTTTGCTACACAGGTTTGTGGATTTTTTAAATTAATACTTCTGCCGAGTTTGAGAGATTTCAGGCTCTGGCACTGGTATTTCCGCCGTCTGGCTGCTTACTGTTTTCTGCGGTTGCGTTTTAGGCACATGAAGTGTCCTGGGTCATGACTTTGAGACCTGTTGTAACGGAGTGCTCCCTACTCAGTCCAGGGCTGTGGAAGTCACCAGTACTTCTAGACTCCTGTTATTCGTGAATTTCTCCTAGTAGTGAGGGAACCAACGGAGATTTAATTTTATCCCTATACAATCAATAGTATTTCCCTATGAAACTGAACCCTAGACGAAAAAAGTATGGGTGGCAAGCGCGTATGTTGGGTTTGTAAATCAGAAACTTCCATTGCTTTTGAAAGAATTAAAAGCACAATTGAGTTTTGGGCTGCCAGCAACATTTTGTAGATGAACTCTGCTCTTACATGCTTTGTGTCTGTCGTGTGGAAATTAAGCATGGAAGGCTTTAGGACCAGAATGCCTAGGGTTCAGTCCTGTCTTCCCCCACTAACACGTTAAGATTCTAGTAAGTTACACAGACCTATCCGGGCTTCCACCTCCTCACATCTGAAATGGGAGTTCTAGTGGATTCTACCTCTTAGGGTTGTGGTGTTAATGCATTAGAAGCGTTTAGCACAGTGCCTAGCACACCATGCGCACGTATTAGCTATTGTAGTAATTGTCACTACTGTGAGCAGTCATTATTTTGTAGACAAAATAATAAAAGGATTAGAAATAGAGTATAAAATCTATGCAAACAAAAGGCCATATTTTGGTGTAAGGTCCTGTTCAGCAATGGTATGGGAAAGCACAATATAAAACTCTTAGTAGCAGGGCGATGGAGGGTAAATCGGGAAACGAAAATTTGGAAGTTGTGGAGTCTTTCACTACTCAGTTTAGAGAAACTACCCCCTGGGAAATAATGTGCGTTACCCCCAGAAACAGAGCCCTAATCCCATCTCCAGGTTCCCAGCTAAGTGTGCTTTCTTTGCCTACATATCTTAATCTTCAGGTCTTGAGAAAATCAGCTTGAATAACATTTTAGTATAGTATGTGTATTTTTATAAACAACTTATTTGCATTCAATATTTCTTATTAGCATTTTATAAATTGAGTTTCCTTAGAATCTTTTGATGCAGCATATTATTTTCCTGCTAATGGGTTGGGTGTTGTTGCAAATAATGTGACAAGACTTTCAGATAGCTTGATTCTGAGAAGATGAATGATATTTAGAAATACTTCCATTGCATTGGTGAAGCTTGGCTCCGGTGTTCTTTTTCTAAGACAGACTGCCTCGAGGTTCAGATAATTTTACATTAGACCATTAGAGCTCTTCCTATACTTAACTCAGGACCTCTTTTTGGAATCCACCACAAGACAGTTACAGTTGAAAGACAGGGATGATGTGCCGCTGTACAATTCCTAGCCATCACCGAATAATCTGCAGCAGTTAATCAAGCAAAATGGTAAAATTAAAATTTTGTGATATCTCACTTGACAAAGCAATGATATTATTACATCTGTGGCACATAAAAATGTAGCACTTTAATTCTTTAAAATAGGACAGCTTGGAAAGCGTGCTCTTTTTCAGTTGGGAGCACCACATAGAAATAACACAGAAACTATGAATAATTTTTTTAATGGACAGTTTCAGTCTCCACTGTGTGCAATATGCAAACAAGGTTGATGAAAATAAAAAACTAAGTTGCTTTCAGAAAACATCTGAAACATTCTTTTTAAAAGGCTCTTATAATTCTTAAAGTAATCATTTCCTATTCTACATATTAAATTAAAAAGTTATACAAGAAGAGGACTCAGGTGGTGCCAATTATCAGAAAGGATAATGTCTGGTGTCTTAAAGGCTTGTCCTAAAACAAATGACCATTTAAGGGAGCCATCAAACCAGTCAGGGCCAAAAAAAGTACATCGACCTAAGTGTGATCAAAGGATTTTTAACAAAATCCATGATCAGAGGAGGGATATATTAGAGTTTAAATTGTAAGCACTAGGTTTGCAGAAGGCCATGGTTTACAGTGAGAGTGCTAAATCCATTTTGAGTCTCTACATAAATTCAACCTCCATTGAATTCTTTCAGGTTGAGTGTGTTTGAAAGTAGATTGTCGCTGACATCCCAGGGAGGGCAGCCTTGTTCCCAGAAACTTGCCTGGGGTGTCCTTGATGGAAACTGGGATACTAGAGTCTCATAGTCGTTAGCCATACTGCAAACAAGGTGGTCAGGGGGCCTTGAACCAATTTTGTTAGCTTTTGGCAGTGGTGTACCTATCCCAATCATGGTCTCTTGTTTCCATAGTACTGCCTTTCACTGTGATAAATCGATCTGTTGCCAATCATTGTTTCTGTGAGAAGTTTCCTTGTTTCCAAGCTTTATAGTTTAGCCACGTGGCTGTGACTACTTTGGACACCATTATGACCTCATGCTGACAGCCTCCCTCATTTAGATGATTTTTTCCCCGCTGTGCCTTATTTAAGACTTAATAAAGGATCTCTTAAACAAAACAAAACAAAACATACCAGAGAGAAAAGGAAGCTTGAGAAGAAAGAAGATAATTTGTTTTCCTGACCTTAAGTCTTGTGTGTGCCAAGATATGAAGATCTGTCCACAGCCACTTGCAGTCCGCCGTGATTTCTCTGCTCCGTCAGCCATCGGAGTGTGCATTTCTGTGGGAGTTCTTAGATAAGGAGCTAAAACTGAGTTATGACCTTAATTACCAAGCCAAGCTATTTTATCAGAGCTTAAAATGCAAGTATTCTCTGGGTACTCTTTTTTATTTTAAAATAAGTTTTATGGACATATAATTTACATGCCCTACAACTCAATACTTTACATATATTAGAAAGAGTTGTACCGTCATCACTGCAATCAATTTTAGAATACATTCTTCATTCTTGTACTAATTATTATTAGCTCTGTAGAGTGGTTTTTATTTATAGGCCGGTAGTTTTAAAAGGGATTCTGTATATAGAATAATTTTCTAAAAATTGGAGGTGTAAAGTTTCTACACTTGAGAAAATATCCCACTTAATTTCTTAATGACTTAATTAAGTCAATGGGATACAATCATCTGACTTACCTATTCCAAGAAATCAGGACCTTTGTGAAAATGATTAATGCACTCATTCTGCTTAAAAAAAAGATCTCTGGACAGTTTTTTTCCCAGTGGCCATGATTCATTGGAATGAATCATGGAACCACACATTGTCAGGTAAAGTAGCATCATCTCCTCTGTTATCTTAAAGCATCACTGGTAGATCTTTTAGTTTGCGAGTTAGGGTCAGTGCTATCAGTCTGTAAAGCAGCATGCTAGTTATAGTTTCTCCTTATATTATTGTAGGGTTATTACTTATACACTCTGTGTATCAAACGCAGATCACAAATTTCTAGTTGAATTTCCTTACCCTTCCAGTGCTGTCACTTAAGTGTTGAGCTGTCAACTGCAAGGTCCATGGTTCAAACTCACCAGTTACTCTGAAGGAGAAAGATGAGGCTATCTGTTCTGTAAAGATGAATAGCCTTAGAAACCCTAGAGGGTCGCTGTGCTTTGGAATTGACTAGATGGCAGTGGGTTGGTTGCTAGTTAGTTGGAGGTCGGCTGCTAATGGTTCGTACCATTTATTCTCTTTTCAAAAAAACCAAACAAACAACAACCCAAACTCATACCTATCGAGTCAATTCTGATTCATAGAGACCCTGTAGGACCAGATATAAGTGTCCCTGTGAGTTTCCAAGACTGAGTAGACAGACAGCCTCATTTTTCTCCCATGGAGCAGCGAATGGCTTCAAACTGCTGACATTGTGAGTTGTAGCCCAATGCATAACCTCTAGGCCACCAGGCTTCAACTTCTGGAAGATAAAAGAAGAGAACAGGTTGTTTCCTCTTCACCTTTCCCTGCACTTCACTAGGGGGTATTATAAAAATGAATGAGAGAAGCAAAAGAGCCTGATTTATTTTAGATAAATATTCAATATATATGCATATCAAAATGTATAGGATCAGAAGATTATATAGATATATAGATATAATTATATAGCTACATAGATAGGAAAATTCAGATTATACATATATTTTTGCATCCCTTTTAGCTTTCCAAAACCCCCATGAATATTATACATGGCAATCAGAGAGGTGGATTGACAATATTGGCCTTGT